CTTCATGTTGTGTTATTAGAGAGACAGAGAGAGAGAGAGAGAGTGAGTTTAAAACTGACAGTGCCTGTTCCACTTATCTTCTGTGTGACTATACCTTCTTCTTTTACATTTCAAACACTTATTGCAAGAAATTCATGTTCAATGCCTTGTTGCTCAAACAGAAAGAAGATTTCTCAAGAGGCATATAGCAAAAGGCTGATGAAAATAAAAGTTTAAAATGTGGTTACAGAGGGAAGTAAGCCCTCTGACACGAGATTGCTGCTACACACAGCCCATAGCCCGGCCCTGGCCTGGAGGGGGACATTCCTTTCCAAGTCTTGGTTTTTGGCAAAGATTTTCCCTACTTTTTAATTCAGCCTGATGGCTTAGCTTTAGAACAATATTTATGATGGGTGGGAGATAAAGAAAAACAACTGTGTACAGGGTATAAAGCCATGGTGGTGAAAGTGGTATCGAAATACACCTGGTCACATCTCTTAGTAGAAAATCTTTAAAATTTGTGTTGCAAATTTTAAAAAATTTGTATATTCCTTTGAATATCTATATACATAATCCCTTTAAATGACTATTTTAATTTTGCTTCTCTGAATAAACTGTGGGACATAGAAGCAAAGATAAAAATGATGCACAGTCATGCAAAGCCAATTAAAACTTCTGGTTCAATTTTTTTCCGAGTAATAAATTATGGCAGAGTAGCCTTCAATCCTCTTGTGCAAATTCAAAATAATAAGAACTCCCTGTGGTCTTCTAACGCAAACCTACCAAGGAACAGACTACAGGATAATGAAATTTTTCTTGGAAGTAGAAGTCCATAGATTACAGCCTTCGTTCATATAAATTATTTACTACCTAGAAATGTTTCTAAAACTTTCACTTTTGATAATGTATTTAGGGCCGAGATAAATAATTTTATACTCAAACTAAAGCTACAACTGTAAGAAATGGGATAAAAATTTCCCTCATGTCTTTGCTACTCTGACACCATCTCCATTTTCTAACCATGTAGCTTACCACCCCCCACCTCCTTGGCCAGGAACGAGAAAAGTGTGAAAGCAGGAAATGTCAGGAAATACATAATTGTGCAACCAAACCAGGCCAAATAACTATAGTCCACTAGTAGCTTCCAATTGTTGATCTAAAAAGAAGGAAAGGACTTGGGAATTTAAAGAACTTTGTCCTGTGCTAACGAGAATCAGTTAAAAATTTAAACTAAAATCTTGTATTTGCTCCAGTATGTTAAAATTTTATGGGACATAAACGTCCTCTCCAAGGGAAAATCAAGAATCACTTGCCTTTTCCCAGCCTCCTTTGTGATGGAAATAATAATGCTGAATCAAAGCGAATAACCAGGCAGATCTGCACTCTGCCAGCCTGCACAAGCACTGAACTCAGAGTCGGCCTGTGACACACATGCCATCGTGGTAACATCATAACTTGGTGGTTTTCTTGCGACTTCCATACACAGGGCTGTCACTGATATCCCTGATGTCTGCGGAGCCACATACTAGAAGCAGAGCCAAGACGCTGCATTTCCTTTCCCTTCTGGCAATCACTGTGGAGACTACTTTCTCTGCCCTGTGTTCTCACACCAGGCACCCTTCCATGTAGTCACACAAAATGGTTTTTTCTTTTATATCAACTACCATGAAGTTTAACTCTCGTCCATTTCACATAAGCATATAATTTTATTGTTTTAAACTGTGTCAATCTAAAAAATTGCCAATTTAAGTAACAATGGTGAGCTATTGAAAGATGTATATGCCAAATTGTCGACGTCTAGTAGATTCCAAATCTGTTTTTAAAATGGATAAAAGGGCAACAGGTTGTAATTGTCCGGATTGTATCTGCCTCCCACATTACAAATGGGGATTATATGTTCCAAATATTTCTCGGTGGGAAAGGTTTTACTTGTCAATAAGAGATTTAAAAGATCAGTCAGGGGTTGGACACTGATATCTCTGTCTCCAGCCAATTTTAAAAGCTATGCATCAAGAATATTGGCTTTTCTTTCCTTCCCTCAACCCCTGTTGTAATCCTCTTAGTGTCTTCTTTACCTCAGTGGGCAGCAAGTTTCCACAATAAAATGCCCCAAAGATATCTATCACCTCTGCCTGAGCCCACCTCTCAGAGTGCTCCTTTCGGTTATTAAATTACTATTCCCAGTGCACTGATCACCTCTCTGGAAATAATTGGAGGCAGTATTTTTTTTTCCAGAAAGGATTTTAAAGGTTTCATACCTAAGGGAAAGTCATTTTTTCCTGAAAGCTTTTCATGACTAACCAATTTATCAGGTTTTGCTTTCTTATGCTGCTATTTTTGTTGGACCAAAGTTTTATTCAAAATCAATTTCTTCTTTCAAAAATAAAGTCATGTAAAAACATTGATTGGAGATGAATACTTTCTTATTTTCTCTAAATCTTTAGAACCAATTAATAATGGTAAATAACTGCACACAGTTATTCTCTCTTCTTGGAACATTAGAGGACATAATTGGTCTTATAAAGCCCAACAATGATTTTTTAAAAAGCAAAGCGTAAAGCCTCCTTTGGGTCCCTTTCCCTAATATCTCTTTGATATCCAATTTTTTTCAGGCTTCAGCTGGTCTTGATAAGTAAGCCAATTTGTGAATTCAGTCTAGTTTAGCCAAGTCTGAGCATACAGATATTGCACAGGGACAAACAGGATGAGCATATCTATGGCCTGCAGGAATTTTACATCAGTCCGAGACACAGACTCCTGAGTTCGCTTCCAAACAAGGGCTGGGATCAGATCATGCCCCTGCTCCAGTATTTCCAGTTGCTCCTTGCTTTGTACAGGACAACAACCAGAATCCCTACCACTGAATTAGGCCCCTTCATGATGCAAGCCCAACACTGTCATAGAATCTACCATTCTACTCCACCTGTCCCCAAAATCACCGGAAATGCACCCTAACGTGGAGTCTGGTCAACTCTGAACCATGGAAGAGATATCGTAAGAGGAGGAGCACCTAGTTCACTCCACTCATCAACAGCAAAGAAGGGATTCACATGATGAGCCAGAAACATCATATCGAATTTAGAGAAAGATTCCATGAAGCAGCCTGGATAGGTAGGGCTTGAAAGGCGAGCAGGATTTCCATGGCATTTATTGAAAGCCCACCACATGCCAGACTCCATGCTAGGCTAAGGCACAAGGCTGACAGAGAAGGCTGGAGGTGGGGACAAAGAAAGAAAAAGGTTGAATTCCAGCCAGAAGGATCCAACAGGTACAGTAACAAATAGCATGGAGTCCTTTCAGAGCACAGCAAACGAGCAATCTGGCTTGGCTAACACACGAAGAGCACTATAGAACAGTCAGCCTTGAAGGATAGGCTACGGCTCAGCAACAACAACAAAAACCCACTCATCCAAGATGCATTGTGCCCATGCCCTACATTCGAGACTGATTGCTAGCATGAGGGACACAGGGCTCAGTCGTGACAGTGGTGCCCAGAGGGTTCTGGGTGTAGTCATGGAGAAAGACACAAAAGCAAATGCCTATCCCAAAACACAAACTCCAAGAGTGAAGTTGGAGGATGAGAAGGCATTCAGAGAACACAGGGAGAGGTTAGTTCTCTTAGGAGGAGAGGGTCAGAGAAGGCGGAACAGGAGAGGTTGAGTAAAACCGCAAGATCAAGGAGGAGTAGGTCCCTGGCCAAGCCAACTCAAGCCATGGGGCCAGTCCACCCAGAGCATGGCCTGGTGCACAGCTGAGCAGTTCCGACTGCACCCTAAGGTGCAGAGAGGATCAGAAAGTGACAAGACTGGAAAGGTAAACTGAAAGTGGGGGCAGAGAGTTACCAAGATCAAGGAAGGCCCAATGAGAATTGTGGAGCTTTGGTAGGGAACAGTCAGAGGTACAGGGCTTTGAGCAGGAAAATAACATTGCAGCAAAAATCTAATGAAAAATACCAGGGTGAAGAAAGCTGAATGTTAGGTAAATATAAAATATAAAAGGCATTTAGTATGCTATTTCATTTACTTTTGTTTTCTGAATTTGCTAAAAAAAATAGGATTAGATACATTTTATTCTGTTTTTATAATATTATTTAGATTCATATGCTTCTTGAAACAGCCAAGATTTCCAATATGAAATTTGACATAATAGAGAGACTCAAGGGGTAGCATGCAGGAATTGAAGAGCAAATTGGAGCAAAGGGTCTTTTGCATGGTATGATAAACATGGGACCCAGACTGGTCAACAGGAGTCTTACTTCCATTGAGCTTCTCTGTTTCTGTCCATACGTTTTGGTTCTGGTTTCTTTGTGTTCAAAAACTGAAGTTCATGGAGCTGAAATGAATAACAATCTTCCACAGAATTTTCCAGCTAAAAAGTACAAAGGTATTATTCCCTCTTTGAAAATACACTTACCATGCCTCTCATAGTTCAGCTTGAGGATAAAAAAATCTTTACTATAAGAATAGATTGATAACAGGTACAGTTGTAAATTAATAACAGATCTGTACTGAATCACCGTGAATCGAGTTTGCTAAGGAACTGACGTGCCTTTGACTCCTGACCACAGAGCCATCCAGTCCATTCCACAGTTCTGAGAGATGGCCGCTATCTTAAAGACTTTAACAACTACAGCTTACAACTTGAACAAAGAAAGTATGACAAAAACTAGGATTTAAATGACATAATTCAAGTAGAATGCTTTTCCGGGTAGGGGTTTTATATATTGTTTCAGGTTTGGAGTATTTAACAAGAATCAAAGAAAAATATTAGCTCCAACATTTTTTAAAAACAACATATAGTTTTAGATATAACTTTCAGGGCTTAGGATGGGGCTCAGCATAGGGTGCCTGAGACCCTGGGTTAGATCTTCAGCACAGACAACAAATTAAATTGAAATTTAATTACATTGTAAAACAAAACAACAGAAAACATTTCACAACTATCCACTCAGTTCATAATATACTGATTGAATGTCAGATATATAAAACATATATTATTAAGTACAATAAACAAACTCTGACCTTGTTCCACAGGAAATGGCTTTCCCAGTCCACCTTTTCATCTTTCGACTGGTACAGTCGAAATTAGTTGGAAATCCTTCACAAACTTCCCAACTAAGTAAAGCAAAATATTCAATTACTTTTGTTAGAATAAAAAGCAATTTCATTATAATGTGCTTTCCTAGTGTAACAGTGTATGCATCTTAGTCTCTACTAGTGAGAAAAATAAAGAATGTAAAACTCAGAGTTTTTCAAATAGAACTTTGTACAGTGTCATGGTATTTATAATTGGGAACAAAAAGGTTTTAAAAGCTCACCTTGCAATTGTTTATGACACTGCGAGATTCCATGACTAAATAATCAATAACCAAAAAAAATGATTTTTAATCTTACAGAATCATGAGTAGTGGAGACTATCTTTGTTGTCAGGTTTATATTCTATATGCTGGAGTGGGAACAATAGTGACGTTTTTATACTTACAGTGGTTGTTATACATCCTGGTTTGGCATTTTCAAGACAGTCTTAAAGGCCTTGCAATCTACTAGGTACATAGAAAAAACACAAACTAGCAAGATTGGATTTCATTCCTTGTTCAGCCAAATCACTTGTCTTAGGGCTAAGGGTGTAGCTCAGTGATAGAGTGCTTGCCTACCACACAGGAAGCCTTAGCTTCAAGCCTCAGAACCATAAAGAAAAGTGACCCATTTATGACCCAGCTCAACTCCTATGTGTTAGGACTTGGGTACCACATGCTATTCAACAGAAGCCAATCCTGAGACTGATAATAGCAACTTTTGTCAATATTCTGAGAAATACAAGAAATAAGAGCATCATTATGAAGATGTCAAATGATCTTTCAAATACAGAAAGAAAATTCAAATGGAGTGTAAAAGTAAGTAAATTATCTAACAAAATTAGTTTGCATTCAATAAGGGCAGCTTTATATTGTTACTCTTGGGGACCTAGATCTGATTTGAATCACTTCAGTAAAACAGCATTTACTGTACCTGGGGATGCACAGTCAAGGATTAGGCCAGGGATTTGGCTCAGTGGCAGCATGCCTGCCTTGCAAGCGCAAGGTCCTGAGTTTGACCCCTGGTACCAAAAAGAAAAAGACACAAAAAGGATTAGATGAGGTAAGAATATTAAAGTGTATAATGTGAAATATCTGTGTCAATACTTAATATAAATGTTAGAAATAAAGCTAAAATTTAAAAGAAAGGGTCTGGACAATCTAATCACTTAAAATACTATTGTACTCAAAACAAATCTTCTAAATGAAAAGCGCCTGTAACAAAAGAATGCCCCTGAGTTATTTTTTATGTATAAAGGGAAGGAGAAACAGATTCATTCTTGGCTAAAAAGTGCAGCAATGTTTGGGGGGACAGAGCTATTGATTAAGCAAGGAAAACCAACGAGCTCTCTTAGGCACAGGGAGCAATCGGCCAGACCAGGGCCCTCGAGTGACAGCTCCTGGTGCCTGCATCCTCCTTCCAACTATAGAGTAAGGAGCACTGTGATCTATTAAATTACAAACTGGTAAGGCTGGACAGGGCCTTGCCGACAGATCTCCTAATCCCACCTCCTATCAATGTCAGGCCGAAATATCCAATATGCTGGACATTAATCACATAGTCCTATTTAAATTTAAATTACTTTAAATAAAATTTAAAGATCAGTTCCACAGTCACATCGTAAGTGCTCAACAGTAAGAAAGTTGTGTTTTTGTCACCATAGAAAGTTCAATGGGACCACTCTGCACAGGGGTTAGGCACTTAGATAACAGACGATCTGGATCAGAACTCTGACTACTTTTGTGTGGCTTTAGGCAAATTACTTCTTTTGGTCTTGGCTTCTGTCTTTGAAAAATGGAGAATAGCATACTGGGGAACAAAGAGATTTAAATTATTGTTTTGACAACTAAATAAATTCTTACACAATTCTCTGGTAACTCTGCCTGGCCTACTGTCAGCACCCAGAAAACCCCGCTTTTATAGCCGATCCGGGCCCCAACCCTGGGCAGAAGAGAGGACAGGGCCCCAGGTCTCCCTTCTTCTCAGGTCCTACCAGGCTCCGGGCACTCTGCTTTCTTTTGAAATTTATCATCATCGAGTGAAATGTTTAAATGTGCACATTCATGGGGAGAACACAGACCCTACTTAAAATGTTTAATTTAGAAATAACCACCAAAACAGCTTTTACACTTCAAACGAGATTGTTACTTCTGCAAAGTAGGAGCTACCCTCTGCCCGTGGCCCACAGGACTTTTTTACCCTAGGGAGGTAGCAAAGGGTCTTTGGGCAGGACCGTACTGTGCTAGGAAGGAGGGCGGACACAAAGAGTCAGGGAAGGCGACTCAGAGAATAGCTCTTGGTGCTGCACACCCTGGGAAACTCGGACCTGGGTGATAGATTATGTCAATCGACGAAGGTTAACTGACTTGTCGCTCCCAACATGCTCTTGTAGGGACTGTGAGGCCACCACTGGCAAACGCAGTCACCTGGTCAAAGGTCAAAGTCAAAGCAGGGATGAGTGGAGATCGGGAAATGGAAAAAAATACAATCTATCTCCAAATTATACAGACACTGAAATGTGAACACAGGTCAGCAATAAAGCATCACAGTCTCACTAACAAAATCCAGAAATAAGGGAATTTCCCATTTATAGTACTGTTGTTAAAATCAGATACACACCTCTGAAAGGTATACTTTAGTTTATTTAGCTGATTCATTGCACCAACAACAGTGGCAACATTTATAACTTTAATAAACAATTGCAACAATGAAAGTATTAAGTTGAGAAAAAAACACTCAATTGTTGCTATAATTTTCATTTTTCAAGTATAACTGCAACCCAATGAATGCTTTCATAATGAACTCTGGAACTGCTAATTAAAATCTGAGTCCTTAATATTTGACTACAAACAACTATTTTTTTCTGAGCTCACCAAGTGTTACGCTGATTTGATTTTCATATTACATGTCACATACACCGCTTTAGATGAATTGGAAATTAGACTCAAATGGAAAACAGATCATAGATTTTAAGATGGTCACTGTGTGGGCTATGAGCCCTTTTTTCTCTATACTGGTAACAAAGATTTGCTGGTGAACTCCAGAAGAAAAGGACACTACAGTGTTACCTGTCCCAAAGATATTTGAACTGAATCTCACTACAAGAAAACACTCAGGCAAGTCCACCACGTGGGCAATCTATTAAGAAAGAATCGGTGTCAGGCAAACCAAAGCAGAACAAAGGCAGAGAGGAGATTCTAGACTAAAAGCAACAATGGAAAACAGCTAAATGCCATCCAGGAAGCTCACTTGGATATTGGATTACAAAAACCTTTAAAGCACATTTTGGGGACCTTGAGCCGAGACTGCTTCTTAGATAATGACATGCTATAATGGACTGTGTTAGATGTCATACAGAGGAATGCCCTGTCCTTCAGTTATCTGCTGCATTTGGGAGTTAAATTTTAATAATTATCCAGAAATATGTTCAAACTACCTGAGAGAGAAAAGGGAGATGTAAGAGAAATAAAACAAATATGGAAAACTCTTTAAATGGGTGGCTCTAGATGCAATACATACAAGTGCTCATTATACTACCCTTTCAGCTTCTCTTTAGATGTGAAACTTTTCAGAATAAAAATGTGGGGGAAAGAATGACTGAAGGGCTCAAATATTGGACAAAATTAACTTTGGTAAACAAGCAGCCTGCGCCTCCTCTCCCAGGCTAACAGAAATTAGACACAGCACAACTGCTTCCCGAAGACAAACGGTCTCACTTACTATAGATTGCATATGTTTGCAATATATTTTAAAATATATAGTCATAACTTTGTAGACAAACAAATTTTAAGGTTTCATGGTGGCAAAATGTGATAATGGTTCCTTGGTGCTTTATGTCAGACTAGGGCTTTATTTTCAAAATTTAAAAATACACTAAAAGAAAAATGAAATACAAATAAACATATGCACTTAGAAATTTCTCCAGATACAATCCTCAGCTGATTTTAGGATATTCCAGACTACTGACCTTTTATCAGTCACTCCATAAATATAATCCAGTTAGCCAAGAACAAGTGTGGTCTTTTTAAAATACTATAACAAACATCAAAATTAGTCAATCATTACTTCCACTTTGACAGTGATATTAAGAAAAAAATAAGATTGGCATACATTTTATTAAGGTCTTTCTCTTGCAATTGGAAGGTCCTGCTAAAGCAAGAATTCTTGCCACTTTAGAATTCATTACTGTTTTTATCATCATAAAACTAATTCCACTCACAAGGTACCTAAATTAGATTTTGAAATTTGACTGTTGGGGAAAGAAATTTATCTTTCTTTATGGATATTTTAGTTGTAAAAATTACACAGCATAAGAAATCATTTTAAGCATTTTAATTTTATTCTACTCTGGTAGATGAAACAAAATTCTGTAACCTGTTACCATAACTTATCCTATCAACCTCTACCAATGCCTGCATGGGTTTCTGAGGCTGTTTTTGTTTCAGTATTTGAAATTTTGATGATTTGGATATTTGGAAAACCCAGGCAGCCCATAGGTTTGCTAAGATTTAGTCTATCCATGCTGTTGTCCTTATAATCAACATATGACCGATATACACACCTTATATGCAGAATTGCTTTCCTTTATTCTGATCTGCAGCTAAAGAGTGAACTAAGCAAATATGTATACGTGTATAAAGAGGCAAGAAAGTGTGCTTAAGTTTCCTGACGGGCAGCCTCAGAGCTCCTCTGGATATTCCCCGTCAAAATATGCATACATTTCCAAGATACTGGGCACAGCAGCCCTGCTCTGCTCTGCTCCTCAGAGCTATGGACCGCAGCCTTTTCCTTTCTTTAGAAAGGCAGATAATTTTATGCAGGAATTTACCAATCTACAAAAATTTACACAATCCTCAGCAAAAACCGGTAATTACTGTGGGATAATGCGAGGCACATTTGAGGAATATAACTTTGGCAGGATGGGGCTTCCGAGCTTTACCAATTTAGCTTTAGCTGTTCTGTCACCGGTGCTTAAGAGGTTAAGACTTTATTTGTGAAAACATAGAGAGGGAGTGGAATCGTGTTGTCTGCAGCTTCATAAATCTTGCTTAAGATCCTTTTCAATTACCATCCATTTCTCCTTTAAAAAGGGACAAAAAAATAGCGGAGTGGAAGCGGGTCAGGGCAGTGTTCGACAATGGCAGTGTGATGGGCCGGGCCCCCGCAGCGTTTCCATCTGCTATCATTAAGGTGCCTACTCAGACATGAACAAATCCCTCTTGCTGTGCTGACAGGCAGACTTCAAGAACTATGACAAGGCATTAAGACAGAAAATCAGGGAGAGAGGGAGAGCGCGCACTAGAGATCATATTCCATAAACAATGCTGTCTCTAAAAAATGCCCCTGAAATTTTATTGCAATTCAGAAATTTTTTTAATTTCCCAAGAGGTGCTGCTTGGCTCTTCCGAGCCTCCTTTCTGCTAAATTTGCTGGTCCCTGGAATGACAGGACGGAAAGGAGACACACCTCACTCCTACCTGCGCATTGCACCATAAGAGAACCCAATATTGTGCGCTTTCTTCAGCAAAAGCGGAGTCTTACTTTCTTGGCTGTCCTCACAGAAAAGCTGGGTTGGGGCTGAAGTGGGGCCGGGTGGGCCAATGGAAGAACCTTGCAGCCTGGCGTGGATCCTGAGGAGTAGCTGGTGAGGCGGGCAGGGGGTGGGGAGGAAGACAGAAGCTAAAACGAGAACATCTGTAATGAACTGCCTCTGCTCTGTAACAAATGAAGTCCAAACAAATGATAATTAAATTCACATAGAATGTGAAAAGAAGTGTGAAATGACTACAGTGTTTAGCTCAGTGTAAAGTAACAAAATGAGCACGGGCTTTTAACCAGCAGGGGGTGCCACAGGCTTGTGATTGAGCGCTGACCCCTGGGCCCCGGGACTGAAAGCAGATGGATGTGACAGACTCCAGAAGAGCACTTAGTCTGCACTGGAAACAGTCCTCTGAGCAGTTCTGCCCCGAGGCCTGAGCTGCACACTGTTCGGGGCCTTCGAGACCAGATTCAAGCTGCACAACTGCCCACCTCCCTGTCCCCAGCTAACTGCAGATGACCCTGGTAGAGCAATTTAATTCTCCACTCACAGGGCTGCAAAATAAACGTGACTTTCAGCTCACATTGGTCCTCACAGAAGAACTCTTCCCGGAAGCATCTGAATGACCACAGCTGGCAGCCATGTGTGTGCGAGAGGCTGCATGCACGCAAGCTTGGGACTGTGTTCAGAGACAGCGTTTTCAAGGTGTGGCTAAGACACCACTTGAGGGCGATGCATGACATGCTGTCATCTAGCGTTTTAAATCACAGCATTGGTCATGTTGCCATCTACCTTGCATGTAGGGACTCTGAGTTGTCTGGCTGATTCTCATTTGAGGCACATTTCGGATCTGGAGCAAATCGGAGTGCGCCGTGCAGACCAGGTATGTAGAAGCTCTTTGGGGCATCGGGCCCCACCTTGCCCTCCTGCCCTGGCCCCACGCTGCCATCTCGCCCCAGAGCCTCTGTCATGGGCTTGCTGTCCCCTCCCCGTCCCCCCTTAAGTCCTCAGTTTCTCCTGGCTCCCTGCAGGGACAGGGCTCTGGCTTGGTCTTTTTTGCCTCGCTACGATGCTGTCTTTCCTTTTTGCTCCTTCTATTAATTTCCAGGGAAGATACCCTAAGAAGTGCTAAATTCCGAGCATCAGGGCAAAAGGAAGGGAAGCTGCCATCTCTCTGTCCCTGTCAGGTGACTCGCTGATTGACTATAAGCTCTTGACTACATAAAATAATGTCTTTCGGCCACTGTGGAATGTCTGAGAATTGGGCTTTGTCTGATTAAAGACCCACAGCAGCGTCCCCAGCTTTAGTGCTACAATGCTCTACTTAACCAGATTCTTAGTGCTCAGAACCAGAGAGGCTGGAAATGGAAACACTCTTCAAAATTTCATTAAAGTGGATACTTATCCTCCAGCAGAGCCAATCCTTCGCATTAAAAATGACTGTCCCCTGTAGGTGACTAACAGCAAAAGCAGGAGTAAAGATTTGTTTGTTTTTGTCACTAGAAGCACAAACGTGCTTTGCCATCTGTAGACCGTATTTCCAAAGGCCTACATTTATTTCTGTGTGGTCTCAACCCTGGAGCTTGGTTGTGCTACTTTACTACTATTTCAGAAAACATGTAATGCTTGTCATTTTTTAAATCACAGGGATTTTGCTTTATGGGCATCACCTTTTTGTACAAGGAAAAGATACAGAAGATTTAAGAAAAGAAAGCCAGGGAAGAAATGGGGCCCGGGCGTGGGGGAGACGATGCTGTGAGTCCTCAGCCACTTAACCAAATCCCCCCAGGAGTGGCGTTGGGATCTCTGCTTTCTCACCTTGCTGGCAGACTGCACTTTAGGTGCTCCTCACTAGGCCACTGATTAGGGCTGGGCTGTGCAAAGCAAACACAGGTGATCTTCACCCACTTATCTTTAAAGCTACCATCACCTGGCCTTTATAGGATCAAACTTTGCCGAGGGATCCCAGCTAGTGTGTGAGACAAACGTCCACCCAAGCAGTAGTCGGGTGTGGGGGACCTAATCAATGCCGCTGCCACCCCAACCCTCACATAGAAGTGAAGCACATCAGTGCACCCTCGGTGGGGACGAAGCTTTCTCCGGAATAACATCTTCCTGTATAGGAGAACACAAATGCCATCTTCCATTTCAGCATGAACCAAAAAGTAAAATATTCTCATGCCAGAAGGCTACAGGGAGACAGGCAGAAAATTCTGGAGAGCTTTTGTACTATGGCGATTTGTGTAAGACACCAGGAAGACTCTGGATGGGTCTTTAATCAAGCAAGATTCCATTTCTTGGTCTCCCCTGGGTCCAGCCAGTGGTCCAATGAGAGGCTCTCAATTCACATGCAAGTCTTTGATTGGCTCCAAAGCCCAGGTAAGGGATACCACCAGAGGGAGGTACCTATGTCTGGGGTGCGGAAGGGAGGGAGCAGAAAGAGTGAGTTTGGGACAAAAAGGCTGGTGCACTCGGGCACATAAACAACGGGGTGTCCGGGGTGTCTTTTGTGCACGACAAAGGCCCCAAATGAAGACCCTGGACAAGCTGCCTCTGCCTGAGAAACACCCCAATTGTCTGGAAAAGAGGCACAGGTGTGGGCACCTGAGACAAACCTGCTGGCCTGGCCCGCAGTGAGTGCGGAAAGACCCTGCTGTGCCCCTGACCAAGACTCGGACTCCCAGGGACCTACAGCATCCCCTCCACTGAAGACCACCAAAGACTTCCTGGTATAGGGGCAAAAGGAGCCCAATCCTGACTCATCCAAGCCAGGCCCCACTGCCAACGGATTTTCAAACATAAACAGCACGGAGGTTGAGATGCAAGTAGGACAGGGTCCACAGTTAATACTCCGCCAAGGCTCGGCTGACAGACCGGCAAATGACTGACCTTCTGCAAACAGCTTTAGGGTGTCGTTGCCTAAATCAGCTTCTCCTAACCTGGAAAACATCTGGAGTCCTCAACAGACGGTAAACTCACCCTTTCCATCACACTGTCCTGTGGAGCCAAGCTGCTAGACCCGAAATCTTTTTTACTGATATAAACGGAGGTCTCTCCAGTGCCTTTACCATTTCTGAGTACCTAAAAAATAAACACATTGAAAAATAAAAATAAGCACACACACAGATACCATATTCACACACACTTGTAAATGTGGGCACAGCGTGTGTCAAGTGAGATTAGTGCTTCTACGGGAATCGTGCAGGGCGAGAGCCAGCCACAGAAAGGCCACAGGAGAGTAGCAGTGGAGGGAAACCAGCAGCACCAGGAGAACAGCATGAAGCTCAGCCCTGGTTCTCCCATGCTCTCTGTGTCTAATCCGACTCTCGCACTCCCTGCAAGGGCAAAACAGGAGAAAACTCACTTGGACATGGAAGGAAACGTTGCTGACCGACCCTGAGGTCCACTAGCAACCAGTGAACTCACTCATTTTGTCTGTCTTCAAAACCATCAGGCAAGATCACGTGAGGGGCATCTGATCCATGTTTAAATTCTGTGTCGAGCTCATCTTGTGACTCACAGAAAGGAAATTCAGGTTGGCAGATTTATCACATAACAGTCGGGGAAAGGCATCCATTCCAAATGCACATGTCCTGGAAGTCAGCGGGAGAGAGAAAAAAATCCTTAACACTGCATTGCACAACACTTGCTAGGGAAAGAAAACACCGTGTAGTCCCAACAGGAGTGAGGACCATGCTCTGTCCACACCGTGGGTCCAGGCGGGGTCCACTGCTCCCCAGCAGGGAAAGGAGCAGGCCGGGTTTGGGGCTGGCTAGTAACTGGATAATAATGCATTTCCAGTGCTGTTTCCAGAGAAGATAATTTGGGAAAATAACACTGAAAAATTAAGAGAGTTGTCTTATATTTTGGAGATCATTCAACATTTAATCAGTTGCTGTGGCACTTCCTCAGACTCTAGATGCACACAAATGTGATTAAGAAAAACAAAAAGGGGCTCAGTGGTTCCAGCGCCTACCTTGCAAGCACAAGGCCCCGAGTTCGATCCCAGTACAAAAAAAAGGAAAAACAAAGAGTAAGAACGTTAAGAATTGTAGGTTTGGGCCAGGGATTTAGCTCAGTGGTTTCGCCACCTGCTGTGTAAGTGCAAGGACCCAAGTTTGATCCCTGATACCAAAAAACAAAAGAATTGTAGGTTTGACTCTGATATAGGCTTTTCACAGAGCCTCTGATGGTAACATCTTTTTCTAATTGGGAATTTTGTTAATGACTTTCTGAGTGAAGATTCAGTTCCAGCACCAGGCAGGGTGGCTCACACCTGTAATCCCAGCTCTCAGGAGGCTGAGACAGGAGGATCACCATGCTCAAGGCCATGCCTAGACTACATGGTGAGATCAAGGCCAGCCTGGAGTACATAGTCTCAAAACAACAAAAATCAAAAACAAAAAAAAAAGATATGATTCTGGGCAAGAAATCTCCCTGCTTTTGCAAAGAACCTTAGGCACCCAACCGTTGCCTTCAGATTTGTGGTAAATCAAGTGGGAGGAGACTCTTACGGTCTGAAGCATCTCTTCGGGCTCAGTCTGGAGCAAAGCTGAGACAACAGGCAGACGGACCGGGCCAACAGAAGTGGGCATGCCCGAAGCATGCGCTCTGTAAAGCTGGTGAGGCTGCGAAAGCTCAGGGCGGAGAACTCACTGCTGTTGCGCGTGGAGGTAGGGTCGGAGCGTGGGCAGCTGCGTTGTGCTCCGTGCTGTGTGGGTACCACAGGATGCCGAGGACGTGGTCAGCACCAAGCCTCTTGGCTGAGCTCACGGGACTGGAAGAAGACCTCCCATTGTGTCCTGAGATGCGTCCTCCAGAAACAGGAATAAAAATTGGCTACAATTCCAAAAGTGCTCAGAGGACATTTTTTAAAAGGTGTTTTAATGGTTAAGCAAAGTGTAGGTGTTTACATGGGGAAAGCCTGCCATCCACTAGCCGTTTGTGCACTGTTTCTGCTATCTGTCCACAAAAATAAAACTGTCCAAAACTAAAGTATCCAGATTCTGTGGGATTCTGCTTTTCTTAAGGCTTGCCTCGAGCTTCTAAGCTTTATGGAAACATGTCCACATGTCCATTTTAAATTAATATGTGTACATGTCCCTCCTGCCATGAGGACTCTAACATCTAATGTCTAGTGCTCAAACAAAGACAGCTCTCTGAACAGCATTTCTACGATTGACTAAATATAGGAAGTGAAAAAGAGTCCACCTTCATCCTACTGCTGCCTCATCTATGGCCCAAGAAAAACCAGCTCCTGTGTCAGCTCTCTGAGCAGCCTCCTGCTTCAGAATGAAACCCTCGCCCTGGAGTAGTGTGATGCTACCTGGTCAATGTGGAAGGAAGAAACTGCACAGCCTGACATGAATGGTCCAGGTCCTCATGAAACATGGCAGCTAGTGAGCACTGAAGAGACACCAGGAATAGGAGCATCAGCATCCTGAGCCCAGGGATTTAAGAGGAAGTGTTGTTCACGCTCCACAGCATTCCCACTCTCCCCTTGGCATTACTTTTACTTTTCAGTTCCAATACATTCATACTAGCCTTTCGTGAGCAAGACCAAAGTAGATCAACCTCAACTGTTGGGGGTAATGTCACTTAATCCATTCACTCACCCGATGTGCACTGAGTGTCTACCTATGCAGTGTGTGAGACACATCTGTGAACTCGGCCTTCTGCTCTTGGGGTGCCCACCCTCTGTGGGCAAGGGGAAGGGACAGACACTAAATAAGCAGCACAGAACCTACGGGCCAGTCGGCCAGGGAAGGGACTTCCAGAACTGTGAACTGAAACACCCTTCTCTCTTTGTAAGTTAACTGTCACAGGCATTTTGTGACAGTGACAGAAAGCTGGCTAACACACTTGAACTCCATCTCCCTAGCCATACCTCAGAAATGCTCACAGCTACTTCTATACCATGAGGTGCAAGGGAGGTGTAAAAGATAGGAAATTGGGATGGAAAGAGATAATGGGCTCAACCTCTCTTGGTGGAAATATGCTACAGAAACACCCATGTGAGGGTTGAGGGACCTAAGCAGGAAGAAGCCCTAGGCTTAACCTCCACTGGCTTCCGGGTAAATACTCTGAGTACAGAGGAAGGTGGTAGGTGCTATGTGAGAGAGAGCAGAGCAGGCAGGGGCAGGGCTTGGGGTCAGGAGTGGGGCGGGAGTAGTGGTCGCCATATGAGAGGGGAGGAGGGATAAACTAAAGAGAGGAACCACCGGGCGAAGATCAGAGGAAAGCAGGAGCCGAGCAGAGAGCTGGGAGGGGGCCCCCGGGGTACAGGATGGGGCTGGAACAGAGGGCGCCGATGTGGCTGAAGCAGCTGGGGACGAGGGGTCAGTCACTGGGAAACCAGACAGGTGCGGAACCAGTGGACAGTGTGGAGCAGAGCAGAACAGACTCTGACCCGCATCCTTAGGGGCTCAGCAGAGGCCAAGGGAACCCGGAGGGGCAGACCGGGGCTGGAACCGGGTCTCACCCAGGGATGTGTGAGACGCGGGCAGTCGGCCATGCATCCCAGAGGGTCGTTATCTGCTACTGTGTATTTGAGGTTAAGAAATAGAATGTCTAGCTGGTATTCCTGAAATACATTTCTGCACTGATGAGTGGACGTTATTAACCGATGTAACTATGCATATGTGGAACTTGTGAAAACATAAGCGTGTCAGCCGAGTCCCAGAACGATTCTACTGGCTGAGAAGATTTCACAAAGACAGGAACCAAGACTTAAACTACGCAGGGGAAGCTGAGTGAAGGCGGAGTTAGGAGCCAGCCTTGGACAGGGCTGCCGGGCCTCTCCGGTGGCTTCTACTGAGGCTGGGAAGGCCTGCTCGGCACGTTATCTCTCCACCTGTAGTGCTCCAAGTCCGGTTAAGCGCCGGCTTCGGGAACAGCAGGCTCCCACACTCCGCAACCCCGACAGACCGCCCGACAGCTCCCCATGCGCGCCCAAGGCCAACACCCAAGCTTCAAGGAGCCTCCGGATCGGCGCTGTCGAGAGGCAATAATAGAAAAATGACACCGCTGAGCACTGCCCAGAGCTGGGAAGCTGAGGAGTGGCAGGATAACTCCCCGCGGAGGTCTGGTGCAAAAAGGGAACAAAGTGGCCTCGCAGCGCTGCCCGGCCCAGTGCAGGTGAGCGTAATTAGACATGGAAATCCAGCCAGCCTGCAGGTTGTCTTGCACTGCGGTCCCCGGGAAACAGACGCTGGGCCGAGCTTTGGCTGCAGGAAGCCTGCTGGGGAGCAGGGTAGGCAGGGCGGAAGTGTCCGCAGTACTACGGGGGCTGCAGCGGGGCTTGTTTCCGTTCGGGGTTCACGGCGATCCCTCATCGCCAGCGCGGGCCGGCGCTTGTGCACAGCACGTCTTCAACCCTCCGCTCCCCGCCCTCGCTCCGTCTCTCCGTCCCATTTCCTTTGGCATAAGGTCTAAACCCGTTTCCTGTTAGCTACTTTTCTTCTGCTCTTTACATTATTTATACTTTGGGCTGCTCATACAAGAGAACCTGGGATATTGAAGCTTGTGTGTCTGACATATTTCACTTCACAGGATGGTCTCGAGGTGCATCCGTTTTCCTACAGATGACTCGGGTGCATCCTTCTGCACGGCAGAGCAGTTCCAGGTGTCTTCCCGAAAGAGGCAGTCGTCCCGGTGACCGAGCACACCATGTTCACGGGGGCTCAGCTCGCAGCAGCTAACCCTTGGAAGCGGCCCGCTGCCCATCAGCAGCGGGATGGACGCAGCCCATGCGCGGTTCACACCTGACTGGGAGCCCTTACCACGTGTCAGGACGCTGGACACAGCCTGCCAGGAGGCCCCACCGCTGTCCCGGCAGGACGTGGTGTGGGGAGGGGTGGCAGCTCGGACCTTCCACGCAGGCCCGGAGTTCGGGTGGAGGCACTGTCGCCACAGGAAGTGCTCAGCGCCACAGCGGCCGGCTGTCCCCCGGGGCTGGGCTCTTCCGAGCATCTGGAGAAATCAAGTCCCGGTGCTGCAAATCACAGACACCAGCACTGCTCCTCCGTCGTGTGAGGGGCTGTGATGTGTGAAACTGGACACAAGGACCTCTTCAAGCACAGAAAAGCATCGGAGAGCAGGAGCGTTTACCTAAATCAAGGAACAAGAGAGTTCATAGGAAACCGTTTTCTTGGGCAGGAAGCTAACCAGCCATGAAAAATTATTTCTCCAATCAGAATTCAAAGTCACCTTTGAAGACGGAAAATCAACTCTACCTAGATTAATGTTTTATGGACATTAAAAGTACTGCTTTTTCTACTTTTATAGACTTAATAAATGATTTTTCTTACACTGTAACTTCTCAAATATGTAATATTCGAGATATAATATATACATCAAATAAGCATATCTAACTATTAAATGAATATTAGAACTATGGGATGCAGGCAACAAAAGGTTAATACAGTAATAAATTCATATATGTATGCCCATACATGAAAAAGTATTTTAATGCCTAATATAACAGTATTTAACGAGGAAGGAGACAATATATTTCACCCTAGAAAATGGGAGAACATTATACGATTGTTAAACTTCATCAGTCTAAAGGTTATCTAGACCAAAACCCAATAACATTTCCTTACAGCCCACCAAGGGCATATTTAAGAAAAGAGTTTATTCTGGAGGAGACGTTTGGGGCTGCCACTTAGACGGAGGCGAAGTGAGGGACTCTGACGCGGGGGGTGCCCAAGAAGTTTAAACCCCAAATCTCTCCCCATCTTGCAACCCCAGCACACCACAGCTTCGGGACAGGAAGTGAAGGAGCTGGGGTTTCCACCTCTGCTCTGCAGCCCCTGGGTGGCCCTGGAGGGGCGGGGTCAGGAGGCAGGGGGAGGGCAACCTCACTGGCTTCACCCACGGGGCCCATCCTGGAATCCAAGAAAGACTGTGGGCCTGAGAAGGACTCGGAAGGCAGTGTCCTCCTGGAAAGACTGTGCAGCGGTGCTTCTCTGACAGCACGCTTTGCAGCAAGGGTGATCCTGACAGCTGGGACCTGACAGCCGGGACTGGGGCAGAGGCGGGTGGAGGCCAGGCCGGGAGAGGCAGAGGACCCCCGCCCAGGGAGAGGCGGCAGGTGCAGCCCGGTGCTGCCCTGCACCTTTAAGGGGTCTTCTGACACCCGGCTGACTTCTCAGACACAGTGCAAAGTGCTCCAAAAGCATTCTCCTCACACCCATCACACTTCGCACCAAATTCAGCATAGGAGAATGCTCAGAACTCTCTGAGGCAGGGTCAGCGGTCATGTCCTAAGGTGCACAATCTCAGTGAGCACTTTAGAATTGCGATCTCGAGGAAAAACTGAACAAGAATTTGACTTTGGTTAAGTTAGTGCTTGCAAGTCAATGGAATTTGGATTAAAATGTCAGGTCCGTGGGTACTTTCACAATGTCATGTATAACATATAAGAACTTGATAAGTAAAGGTTGTGAGGAGAAGGCTTTTAGGGTTGTTGTTTTGTTTTGTTTGAGACAGGGTCTAAGTGGCTAAATTGCCCAAGCTGGGCTAGAACTTTCAACCCTCCTGCCTCAGCCTCCCAGAGTGCTGGGATTACAGGCACGTACCACCACACCTGGCAATACAGCTCTTTAATACAAAGCCAGGGGGCTTTTAGTAAGAAAAAATATAGCCATGTACCCCAGGTTTTATCCTCCTAGTAGAAATAAACATTAGAGGAGTAGATATAAAGCAAAGCAAATTCTTATCCTCTGAGACCACATTCTCGTCTTTGGATAAAACATGTTCTAATGCTATTTAGTGTCTTCCTTTTTATATCAAATATGCCTGTAAACACGATTTCCCTCCTATGAATGGGTGGTCAGGTAACTAAAACCTATTCCAAAACTCACGCTCTATTGCAAAACATTTTTATCTTAAATAATCCTTTTTCGTCATAAAGCATCATCAAATTGTAGGCAGAGTCTGCAGCGGGCTTGAAGGTATGGCCTCATCTGCCCTTCCTGGAAGCCCTGCATTTATTGATGTTCCAGTGAAGAATTACTGCCTGAAAATGCCCAGGGAGGGCCGGGCTGACCCAGACCGCATCGGGAAAGCAGGGGCCGGAACATATGCAGGGCAGGATCTCCGAGACTTGAGCCATCAAGCACTGTGAAAAAGCTAATTGAGAGGTACAAACAAATTAGCTGCTATGGAGAAGGACAGTGTCCCTGAGAGAGTGTGCGCCAGCAGCGGGGTTCAGCGGAGCGTTTAGTCTGCCTCACTGCTGGGACAGAAATGCAGCCCAGCCTGGGCTCTCCCCGCTGACTGCCCACCTGCCAATTCTCTAGGCACCTTCCAGATGTCAGGCCGGCACAGGCCAGGCCTGTCTCATTACAGCCCACGCCGTGGAGCCTACACCCAACTGATGGCTCACCCCTGCCCCCCATACTGTTCTTGTCCTTCTCTGCAGCGGACATGGGGAAGGAAGATTGCATCGCCCTGCAGGCGGAGTTTACACCTGGCTGCACATGCCCATCAGCCTGGCCTGGCTGTGGGAAGGAAGGAGAGGAGGTGAGAGGCCTCGGGCCCACTGCTAATGAGCCACCCCGGGCGGGGGAGGGGGGAGCCAGGTGAGACATGCCTGGAGTCTCAGCCTCCCGGCCCTTCTCCTGGGTGGTCAGCTGGGCTGCTGTGCTAGAATCCACACATGAAGGCTGGCCTTCACCGAGACATGCTGCCCAGCATTCCATGGATGCCCTTGAGATCCTATTGACCTTGAAGCTTCTGCCGCTGTCTGCTGTCATAATTTCTTTGCAAGCGCAGGTCGGTTGGCATGTTTTACTGCTTGGCTCGGAGGGCGTCGCCTGGATTTGCTTTCCCATTGTTTATTGACATGACTTGCAGGAAACAGAGCACTTCAGGATTATAAACAGGTATTTGGGGAGGTAATGAATAGGAAAGGCAGGACCAAGGAATGCATGTGGAAATAAGGGCACGATGTGCATGCAGAACAGTGGAGTCCATCCAGCAGCCCCCCTGAAACCTCGCCCCTCATCTATGGACGATGTCCCTCAGTCATCATGCATGGATTTGGAAATATTCAAATAAAATCCCCAGCACTATAAATGAATGGTTGGAGAACGACGACCACACAACAGAGTACAAATCTCCAACAGTTTCTTGGACCCCCTGGGAGAGCATTCAAGCATCCAGGTGCCGGGAAAGGCCAGGAGATAAAAGTCAGCCTCCATTTTCTAAATAAAAAACGGGCTGCAAGGGAAAGTGATGGAATGGCAGGAAAAAGCTAAGTAGATGGACGCATTAGTTTTGCTGCAGAAGGCATCATATTCTAACTGTACAAAGACGGTCCCGGCCACCCCTCTGGCCTCTCCCCATGGTGTGCACAGCCCGTGGACAGCATTCACTGTGCTGCGATTTCCTATCTTTCTCTCATTGGCAGAATAAAATTGTTAAAGGCACCATACCTAGAGGATGAATTAAGTGCTGGACAAAGACATGCTTTAAAAAAGAAAAATCTCTGAGTTACCCCTTTAACCATTTTAAATTTCTTTATGCTATAGGAATCCAGCCCAACAAACAATACACAAAGGAAAGGCCTGACGTCGCTGCCCCACAGCGCTCCGAATCTTGTTCTTGTCCAGATTATTAAGTTCTACTACGTCCCCTGCTCCCACACAGTGGATCTGGGGACGTTCACAAAGACCAAGCATCAGGCTCCTCATCTGCTCCAGGCCCTGGAAGGTCCAGAAATGTCACAGAGAGGCGTGGGGCAGGACGCCAGCCAGGGAACCCCCCTCGCGGGCATTTCTAACCAGGAGCAGAGAAAAGATCTCAGAAGGGCCTGAACCACGAAGGCCCCCTTCACTGGCTGTGATTTGCTTTCTCATTCTAAGTAAACACCCACGTTCAGACCGATTCCAAGGAGAGCTTCCCCTGTCCCCGCTCTCAAATTTCCCAAGCCCCACAGAAATCGGATCTGCCCCTGTGGGCAGCTTTCGGAAGACGTCACTGACTGACTGAGGGTGAAAGGCACTAGTTCCAGGGAAGGAGAGGCCTGTCCCTCTTCCGGGCTTCCCCCGCCCATCGATCCCCGCCACAGTCACCCACCTTAGGACTGACTGCCACCCACCTACTCCTCCAGATTTGCTAATACGCTCTGCTGTCAGGCTTTTCTCCCTGCTCTCCCAGGGAAGCACCAGCATTTCTGACAGCATCTCTCGGAAGGCAGTGTCCTCCTGGAAAGACTGCGCAGCGGTGCTTCTCTGACAGCACGCTTTGCAGCAAGGGTGATCCTGACAGCTGGGACCTGACAGCCGGGACTGGGGCAGAGGCGGGTGGAGGCCAGGCCGGGAGAGGCAGAGGACCCCCGCCCAGGGAGAGGCGGCAGGTGCAGCCCGGTGCTGCCCTGCACCTTTAAGGGGTCTTCTGACACCCGGCTGACTTCTCAGACACAGTGCAAAGTGCTCCAAAAGCATTCTCCTCACACCCATCACACTTCGCACCAAATTCAGCATAGGAGAATGCTCAGAACTCTCTGAGGCAGGGTCAGCGGTCATGTCCTAAGGTGCACAATCTCAGTGAGCACTTTAGAATTGCGATCTCGAGGAAAAACTGAACAAGAATTTGACTTTGGTTAAGTTAGTGCTTGCAAGTCAATGGAATTTGGATTAAAATGTCAGGTCCGTGGGTACTTTCACAATGTCATGTATAACATATAAGAACTTGATAAGTAAAGGTTGTGAGGAGAAGGCTTTTAGGGTTGTTGTTTTGTTTTGTTTGAGACAGGGTCTAAGTGGCTAAATTGCCCAAGCTGGGCTAGAACTTTCAACCCTCCTGCCTCAGCCTCCCAGAGTGCTGGGATTACAGGCACGTACCACCACACCTGGCAATACAGCTCTTTAATACAAAGCCAGGGGGCTTTTAGTAAGAAAAAATATAGCCATGTACCCCAGGTTTTATCCTCCTAGTAGAAATAAACATTAGAGGAGTAGATATAAAGCAAAGCAAATTCTTATCCTCTGAGACCACATTCTCGTCTTTGGATAAAACATGTTCTAATGCTATTTAGTGTCTTCCTTTTTATATCAAATATGCCTGTAAACACGATTTCCCTCCTATGAA